AGATTGAGAAACAACTATAAAGGCAATGAAGTATAATTCTGAGGATGTCTTTGAGGTTGTTTCTGAAACAACTGGGACAAACGTCAAGGGAACTGAGTGGAAAGCTCTGTCCTGAAGGTGAGTATCACTGTGGGACACGCTGGGGGCCAAGGGGAGCAGGAATGAAAGGAAGAATGTTCATGTAGACACCCACACTCAATCTTCCTGAGGGTGGTGGAACTGTAGTGACCTTTCCTGAGGAACTTTGAGACCCATCAGACTGGAAAGGGGGCTTCACCTGAGGACATCCTCAGTGTTCCTACATAGGTAAGTTCCATGTCTCAAAGGAATAGCTGATGACTATCTACCACCTACCTACCACACAACCAAATCAGGGTGTCCATTAACTGACTCAATTACTAAGGACTAGATATCGCATGTTACTGGGTTGAATGGCTTAATATTGCTTTTCTTCTTATTTATAAGAGAGAGATGGAGAGGAAAAGGGAGAGAGAAAAGGAGAAGGAGATGATGTGGGAAAGGGATCCATTCATCCATATTTGGCATTGTGACTTACTTGAAAGATTGGAGAAAGAATTCACATTCAGCCAAAATCATCTTTTAAACACTCCTTTAACGCACTTTTGGGCTCTCAGAGACAGATTTCCACCTGATTCCAGTCTGGTTATCTTCACTGGTCTCCTTAACCTCTGTTCATTTGGACATTATTAGCTCAGGTACCTTGCCCACGTTATGCCTTCTTTACCTACTCCTGGACCACTCAAGGCCTCCTGTCCCATGGTTGCCTGAGGCTTGTCACAGTCTCAGTGTACTCTCAGTGTACCCTCTCTCCTCAAAGAGAACAGGAGTTCCAAGAAAGGAATGAGGCTTTACCCTCATTTTCCCCTAGCTCTTATTTAAGCTACTGGAATGTGACAGGCACTCAGCCAAATCTTATTAGATTGACAAACCATGCTTTGTTCTAATAGCAACCCTTAGGAATCGGGTATCTCAGTGAGCTGTCAACAGCGAAGAGCATACTTATTGCAGAACTGGGGAAGAGATGAACAGCACTTTCCAGCTATTCAGTCATCACTGCTCTCCTAAAGAGCAGCTGACTACTGAACTCAGTTTTATCTTGGTAGCAGGAGAAACACTTTAGGAAGGAATCAAATTTCTTTCATTAGTGAATAGTGTTTAACAGATACTTATTAAATATTCAGAAATGTGCAAATCTTAGGAAAGTGAAAGGCCTCAACTTTCTAAATCTATGGAATTCTTGAGCTGATGGAATGGCTCTGTGAGTAGAAGAGCTTTCTGTGCAAGCTTGGTGAGTTCAGTCCCCAGAACCTACGTTGGTAGGAGAGAATTGGCTCCCAAAAGTTATCCCCTGACCAACACACATGTGCCACAAGGTGCACGTGGATGGACACACACACAAACACACACACACACATACACACACACACACACACACACACACACACACACACATCCCTAAGATGATTTCAGTAACCTATGGATTTCTGGGGTTCTTCGCCTGCCTTTTACCATTCGCTGTGTCCTCCACATTTCCCCAGTTTAGTATAGCTGACAATTCTCTCCTTTACAGATGAGGAAAGCAAGGTCCACACAGATCTGGTGGCACAAAGGCACATGCAAAACTCAAGTCAGAGCATACTTGGACACTGATAGCCCTGAGTCCAGCCTATTCCTTCCTTTCTAGCAGATGCTCTCATAGGGAGGATGCTGAGCAATGTCCAGGAACTGTCTAGCGAAGCTGGACCCAAAGAAAGAGATCATTAGTGCCAGACCTGTAGCTATAGTTGAATAACTTGCTTTAATCCCCCAGTGGTGGCAGTGTGAGTTCCTCACTCCCCACCCCAGTGCTCTGGATTCTCAAATGAAAGACACACACACAGACACACACACACAGAGACACACAGACACACAGACACACAGACACACAGACACACAGACACACGCACGCACACACACACACACACACACACACACACAGAGAGAGAGAGAGAGAGAGAGAGAGAGAGAGAGAGAGAGACAGAGTCTTATGTTTAATAACGTTAATTATGTTTAATAATGGAAGACCCACTGCCAAATCTCCACATGGCTAGCACACTCTCCACTCTGATATTCCTGAATTATTACTTACTAAAACCTGTATTCCATCCTGTCAGCCCCAGTCTGCAGTCCTTATGGGTCATGATCCCGGACTTTTATACGTTGGCTGTCTCTCTGTCCTGAACTTCTCAGGCCTGAGCTTTTTTCTTCCCTAGCATGGTGGTTCTACCTCTTCGTCAGTCCCCTTGCCTGTGAATCCTAAAGTCTCACCTCTGTCTCTCTGCCCAGCCATTGGCTGCCAACAACGTTATTTGCTAATCAGAATCATCTAGGGGCAGGGACCCTCAGCATCTCACATGCAGAATTCTTGTGAAGTTTTGGGAACACACAATAACAAGCATTAAAGCACATTAACCCACATTTCCCCTTTTGTCCATTAAAAAGACCTTTTCTCTCAGATATATAATGAACATAGTTATCACAGTTTTGCAAACTATAAGGTATGATATACTGTAGTAATGTTCAGTCCGTCAATTTTGTCAATTTAGGTACATTACTCTAATATCTATCCTAACTTAAAGAGTCTATGATCCTATACCTGAATTATGTTTTGATCTTAACTTGCATTACTTCTGAAAACTATCCTTTCAAATCTAGATCACCTTGTTTAGTGTGAAACAACTTAAGTCTGATTATGAGACTATAACTAGTCTTTAACCCTGCCAGAAATCTGACAATGAATTAAATATTACCTGAATATATAGGAAGCACAAAAACATAGCTTCCAAAACTTAACCAATTTGCAGAGACAACTGACTACCTGGACAATCCCCCACTCCTCAAAATGTTGGAGCATCTACCTTCAGCCTTCTGGCCCAGAACCATCTGATAAACCGTAAATGGAGCAGGGACTGTAAAGGACTAACTTACTCTGTCTTGGTAAAGCTAAGCTGTAAACTATCCCACATCATCTGTCCTTTCCTAGACAGTGTTTTTGTCTGTAGATGAGTTGGGGCAATTCTTGCCCAGTGGCCGCCTTGCCACAAAGTGAGCAACTTCATATGCAAATTATGATGCTTGATATCGACTTTGTATCATGAAGTGGGTACTGTCAAAAGCAGACATGTCTCTTAGTCAAAATTTCAATTAATAATGAAATGATTTTAAATAGAATATTCTGTGGGTTTCTGATGCTTTTGAAAACTATCTATATAAAGTATATTTGAACTGTTCAATCTTGACTACTCTTAGCTATTTCTATTTGAATAATATTGAAAACACTTTGTTATAATTAAATCAGAATCTAATATAGCTATGAGTTTGTTATCTGGCCCTTAACTTGTGTTAATTAATCACCTTAAAAAGTTTGTAATAGCAGCTATTGGAAGGACTAGGTGTAAGCCTTTTATGTAAAAACTCAGGAGTAACGGAGGGAAGGCATTAGCAACATGGAAGTTTGGCAATGGACTAGCCATTGAGGTGATAAAGGAATATTAAATATAAAGATGTGTGTGTGTGTGTGTGTGTGCGTGTGTGTGTGTGTGTGTGTCTTTCATTCGAGAATCCAGAGCATTGGGGCAGCTATCGAGGAACTCATGCAGCTGCTGCAGGGCAATTACAGTGAATTACCTACTACAGCAACACAGATCCACCAAACTCTGGCAGAATTTATATCAGCATTGCTAGGTACAAGTAATTCTAATATTTAAATTTGAAAGGAAGGAAAGAGGGAGAGGAGGAAAGCAAAGACTACATTTCATAAGAAATTTAGGCAATTTTTTGTTTTAAAAAAAATTGAAATTACGGCCAAAAATCAAATACACTGAATAGCAATATCTGCTGAAAACACTTATTTTTATTAGAAACAACATAAATACAATCTAACACATTGTTCGAAAACACACTTCTTTTTCACTGTCCCAGTTTAATAAACACCATCTCATGGCACAATAGTTGTTCACATATCAGTAAGCTCCAAGTGTTAGTCACTAAGGAAAGTAGGGAGGGGTTAACAAACATGGTGGACCACAAAGGGTTGGTCTCAGAAGGGTGACTGTCCAGTTGGTATAGTCTTTACTCTGGCTTGTTGTGTCTTGATGGATCTACTTCTACATACTGTGTCTGCCTCAGCTCCTATCACACAGTCTATGTATCCAAGAATCTAAGGGTCATTAAAACAAGTGGGTAGATAAGCAGGGTTGAAACGCTAGTTTTATTCTCAAGTAGTCAATCTATGAAAAAGCTATGCTATTGCTTAGGTATCTTGTAACAGTTTGATTTTTCACACCATGGTCTTTTAAATGCCTAAAATATTTAATAAAAAGAAAAATCCTCCATTTCTCTCTCCTTATCTTCTATCAGTGTGCACAGCCTTGATTAACGACCCAACATAAAAATTAAGTCAAATGTAAAGCCACCTTCAACATCCTCATAGTGGCTGTTATCCCCTTCCTTTAGTGACTTTGATGTTTTCTTAGTGTTTGTACAAAAATGGGTTTAAATCTGAATACTTACAGTGAAAAGCTGAAATGTCTCCTTGGAAAATTGTCTGTTAATGTGTATTTTATAGGCGCTTCCCTTTATCCATTCTCATCTGTGGCTTCCCATAGATGAAGCCCTCACAATTTTCATGTTTCTAAGCTTATACTTTTTTATAAAGACAATTCAGTTATATAAATAGGCTTTATTTTATGCCTGTTAGGCTTTTTAATAAATATATTAATAATTATGTTCACTTTCATCCGCAGACGGACCCTATGTTTGCTGTGGGAATTATCAATCTTGTTTCTTCATAGCACCCAAGATCAGGTGATCCTTGGGGTTCTCAATTTCATTGCGTTAAAATTCTTCAATGTGGTTCCAGCCACGCATGGTCATATAGATATTGCATGTTCAAAGATAACTTACTGAAGCTTGTTCACAGAACTAAGCTCTCCCCTGATATCTCCACCCCCCACCCCATACATCTGAAAGTAGCCCAAATACTCTCTGGGAGAGAAATAACAACTTTGAAAGATGCTTAACACCACAATAAGGAATTTGTTGGCATGACTCTCACAATGCGATTACTCCAGATACTGTATTCAAACTGTATGGGCCCATTGAAAAAGTAGATATAGCCTAGGAAGAAAGAAAACAAAAGAAAAATCTTAGACTTTAAAAATATTAGGATTTACTACAGCTAAGACTAAAGATCTAATCTGTGATAGTTTTTTGCTAAATATTCAATTGGTTACTACAGTGCCTGAGACTTGAGACTGACCAGTGTTCCACCAGGGCCTCCCTCACACATGCTAGACTGTCTCTTCATTAAGCTTTATATCTCTCAATCTTTATTTTTAAAAGGCTACCAGAGTTTTAATGTATTGCTTGTAGTTAAAAGGATATATAACAATAAAAATCAAAGGAGCCAGCAATCTGAGGGAGGAACGTGGGAGGGGTTGAGGGAGGACAAAGAAGCAGGGGATTATCTAATTATACTTTAATTAGAGGTATTTTAAAAAAATATACAAATATTCACAGATTACATAAATTATGCACTAGAATTAACTGTCTTGCTACAAGTTCTAGTTTTGAATGTTGATATTCAGAGATAATTCCTTTTGTCATAATTAAAGCAAAAATAACTATAGTTATGATTATTATGAATCTTCATAAATTACTCCCCACTCCAGCCCGAATTTTAATTTTGACATAACCCTCTGCCTCTTGGTACCTTTACATATAATTTAAGGTCATCTTTAGGTTCAACATTTGTTGTTCACACACTTGGTAGTAATTAAGTAAAATTCTCATTGATTCTAATCCGGTTATTTTGTTTGCTATTTAAGTAATTACATAGAAACAATTAATACCTTAGTGACCATGCATATATAAGCCATTTGAATTCTGTACTAAAATCCTTTATGTGTGAAAAGCTTCTGAGGGGCCCAGAAGCCATTTTGAAAAATCAGTGCAATGTAACTACTTACCGTTTTTCTCATAGACAGCATCTACTTTGTCGCCAATTCCAGGGAATTCCTCTTCTATGAGGCGGGGAAAATCTTTGTCCATAGTCTGGTTACCATCATCATAACTGTTTAATAAAAAAAGAAAGTAATATTTATCAAAAACACAGGAGAGAGGATAACAATAACGAGAATTTGGGGAAAGGATTAGAAGGGACAAAATTGCCCAAGTTAAAAGATGACGTATGAAGAAAGGAAAGAATGTATGGGTGGGAGAAAATAAATGCTATGGATGGTCCATATGTGCATGAGATGTGTGTGCGTGAGATGTGCTCGTGAGAGCTCAAGTGAGCTTTAGACCCTGGAGGAGCTGACATGGAACAGGAATGGTGCACATCCAAAATAAAGCGTGAGAGGGTTCGGGAGTGGAGCAAGAAGGCAGGCAGGAATGGATGAACAAAATACAATGTCACATATGGAATAAGTGAAACCCAGGGTTTAGTGTGCTAACTTAGAAATCTAAACATATCAGTAAAACCACCCCTGTGACTGAGAAACAAAGTATGGGAAATGGCTGAGAGCAGCGATAGCTGCAGGTGCCGACTCTGCCCCCATACGTGGGCTGGGGAGAGAGAGGTGCCTCACCTCCACACGCGGTTCCCGGAGAAGAAGAGGGTCTTCCCAGTGTCCTCAAAGTGAACTGCAGCGCTCAGCCTCTTCACCTCTTTTGGAAATCCAAGGTCAGATATTTTTCTGGGATAACCTTCCAGAATGTCATAACCATTCAGAGCCCAGAATTTTCTCCCTAGAATCAATGAAAAAGCCATTTTAATTGCCAAGGAACACATGTCAAGGGATGAGCTTGTAAGCATTTACTGAAATGGAAAACTATGTAAGAAGTAATGACTCAATGCTGGTGATCTCCATGTGTCTGAAACAAAGAAATTAGTCCAACAAAGACAGGATTTAAGACTGGGAGTTCTGTTTATCAATATAGCCAGCCAAACATCGCAACAAATTTGTCAATTTATTGGAGTTAAATGAAAATTTATTAAAATTTCTAAATAAAGAGTAACTAGGGTCAGTGAATTAGAGTCAAAATTCAAGTTTTATATCAGTAAAAACAACCCAAAAACCCTTTTTCTTTTAGAAAGCAACTTCATTCAAATATAAGAGTCAAACAATAGGAATGCCATAGGCAGAATGTTATGTGATATACTGTGGTCATTAACTCAGGGTAGCATTTTTATCCCCCTACTTCCACCTCGTGATTATATAGTAGGGACTGGAGAGAGGGCTTGTGGGTAAGAGCGCCTGCTATGGAAACTCGAGGACCTTTGCTCAGATTCTGAGTACCCATATCAGAAGCCAGGCGCTTAGCACTCTAGCACATAGGGTCAAGGGTGTAAACAAAAGGACCAGAAGGGATCACAGGACAGTCAGCCTAGCTGTGCAATAAAAGAAACAGAAGATAAAAGTATATCCATGTTCTGTCTCAAATGTGTATAAATATGGTGAAGGACTAGAATAGTAGATCAGGAAATGAACTTATTAATAGAGAGGAGAATCTTGCTTAACTTTTTCCCACATTTTCAAAATGCACACCATGCTTCTGTGGTGCACTATTTTTTTTTTTATAGAAAGATTAAAAGAAAAACTGGAAATGAGTGTGACAGAGCAAAGAATAGGCATGATGACAATGACCTTCTCCCTTTCTCCTTCGCATTGCTGGGGATCAAACCCAGGGGCTCAGTGTGCTAGGCACTGAGCCATACTTCCATCCCATGATCTAGACCTTTTACATAGCAAACTAAGGACATTTGATAGAACAAGCACAGGGGCTTTATAATTTTCCTGTGTTATACAGTTTTCTAAATTTAGATATAATTTTGGTAATGGTCATGTTACTAAGTCTCTAGCAATATCAAGTTTATTGCCCAATTATGCCTCGTCAGCCATTTGGAAAGCCTCCCCAATGAGTCTTACCTCTAAAGATAAACATAAGGTCACGAGACGGATGTTCGTATGCGGCATCCACATGGTTGGGAAGTTCTGGCCAAAAGGACTTTGTCAAAAACAACTCAGCCTCAACCTGCTGAGGATGCAGACGCCAGAAGAATCTAAAGCAAATGGGAAAACAGTTTGTTAAATTAAATGAAATAATTCTATCCTGCTGATGACCACAGTTCACATCAGTGCAGACAAGGTACTGCAACTATGCCTGCCTGGCACCTATAAAAGGGAAAAGAATAAGTTGTAACCATCTGTAACCAGAGGTCTTCTCTCTTGAAATGTCACAGAGCCTTAGGGAAGGCTCTAAGATTCATTTGAGTTGAAACCATGCTTTATTCAACTTTGTAAATATTTAGAGTGGCAAGCAACTTTGCAATGCACTGTTTCGTTCTAGGAATGTATATTTCATGATCTCGGGAACCATGCAAACTGATATAAGAGGAAACATTTTGGAGAGCATGTAATTAGAGTCATAACAGAGGTGTTGGAGATGCTATCAAGCCACACATGGAGTCATGATGCTTGAAGAGATTAACACACAAGCAAGATGCTACCACCTACAAATTCCAAGTTAATATTTCACTTTTCATTACCTATAGGGTTTATCATAAATCAACCCCTCTTTGAAAATTCCAGCATAGGTATTTGAATCAGTCTCTCCATCTTGAAAGGAAGTAGTGTGGCTATTGGTAAACTTACTAATGCAGCAATTACTTTCAATAGTTTTCATGTTTCTAAGCATATTAGATTTCTATTTTTCCTTTTTCTTATTAAGATTTATCCACCAGTTATTTGATCTAAAACATGTAAGTAAAGTACCCTTGGGTCTACTGTTTCTGTATTACCCCGGGAAGTTTAACAGGTGCTTTGGTACTTTGCAGACAGAGCTTTACCAGATTTTATGCAGATTTGACAAATGAATCTTAAGCGTACCTGTCTTTAAAGATCATGGTTTCTCCTCGGAGACTGGTAATAGCATCAACGGATAGGGCTGGGTCACATTTCTCTGGTGTTTTGGGATGTTTAGGGTTGGGGTCTTCATCTCCTGGACCTGCAGTAACAAAGCTGATATGAGAACTTTCCAAGTGTACCGAGCCACAGGTGGGGCTGATTCTTCTGGGAAGAACAGGAAAGGGCTCCTTCCAGGAAGAGCAGTAGTTCTTGAACTCATATTCCAATACCCAGAAGGCCCTTGTTTCTTTTCTGCAGGGTGCCACAGGCTAGCAGGGTGCCACAGGCTAGCAGAGTGCCACCTTTCTGTTTTCATTGCTGTCGACCTCTTCTGAATTCTTCTGAACTATAAATGAACATTCTTTGAAGTTGTTGATAAAAATCAAAGGTAAACCCAAGCCCTAAAACCATTTCTGCCACACGGTCACAGCCTACTGTGTGCCCTCAGAAAGCACACTGCTCTAAGTCCAGTTCTCCAGGAGCATCACCATAGAGATCCCTCATCTTGTCTCCTTCTTTTGACTATTCCAACAACTGTAGATGTCAGCTGATTTTGCTTTACCAGTTGCCACACTGAAGCTCATCTCAGTGACAAACTGGCTGTGTCCTGACATGTGTTTACAACTTTGTCACAGCTCACATGTGTTGAACACTAACCTCACACTGCTTTTCCCCCTACACAATTCTGTCCACAAAAACCTTGGTCAAAACCTGGTGGAATTAAGACTTACAAAATAAACTTGAAAAAAAGTTCCTTTGCTACCATCACATTTCTGCCTTTAGCCACACAAGCTGTAATAATGTTTCATTTCAGAGGTATAACAGTGGGCTAGGGTGGCATGAACAAGTTTTTTTTTAAGCTAATTCCCCAAGAGCTTTTGTATTGCTGACTGTGAGCAGTGGGTGTAGCTCTATTTATGACACAGAACCCAAAAATAACTGTTTGGGTTGACATTTAATGTTTTGTAAATATTATTGGAAAATGGATGAAAATAGAGGAAATTCCTCACTGCAGATTTTGGTTAAAACCTCTAAAGGCCCACAAGAGGTTCCTTCGGCAGCAAACTGCAATGATTGGACAGTGTTGGAATTTACAAGAGCTGTTTATATTCTCATCTTTTGCTGCTGTGCACGCACTCTTTAAACTCAACAGAGCTTAGTGGCTTCATAAGTTAAATAAGAGTACAAATATAAGGAAGTGTGGTCTGCAAAATATAGAAATGGACTGTTTTCTATCCAGACAAGCAGTTTGATTCAGAAAGATGGATTCTCTGTCATGTTTTGAAAACATGAAAATGGATTGTTAGTGTATAAAGAAAAAGTACAACTATTATACAATGTAACTCTGTTCATCAGTTTTGTAACTGGTAAATTAAGCATTACCATAGAGAGACTGGATTCCCTGAACGTCATCATCAGGAAGCATGAAATGATGTTTGCCGGTGTAGGTATAGATAGGAAACATCAGGGCTCCTGGGTCCTTGGAGTGGTCCAAACCTAGGGAGTGGCCAAGCTCATGGGCAGCAACAATAAACAAATTGTAGCCTGTAAGATAAACAAGAAACAATGAAAAAGCAAGACCCTCCAGTGAGGAGAAGATGAGGGAAACTCTAATCTCTCCATATCTTTTCCTAACTCAGCATCTTATTCACTCTCGTAGTTAGTCTTCAGTTGCTTAAAGGAAGAGTCAAAGTGTTGATTCAAAGTAACAGTCCTTACTACTATCAGGGCTGTAGCTCCCTGCATGAGGAATCAGTTACCTACAGGGGTGTCATTAGATTGCTCCCCGATAATTAGTAGTCAGTAAAGAAAACAGTAGGAGCTCTGAGTTTTCTCTGTCTTCTCTGGCCAGGTTAAGGGTCCAGAATCAGCCATATGGGGGACACATAAGGTCCCACATAGCTCTAAGCTTAGCTTAGAACATTATTCAGAGGGATAATGAACCTGCTACTGTATTTCCATTTTCCTCTAATAACTCTTTCTACCAGCTCTTAGACTGTAGTTTTAACTTGTACGAGTGCACAGTAAATGGAAAATGCTACAAATGTAGCTCAGTGTCGGGGACTTGCTCAGTGTCGGGGACTTGCCGAGTATTCACAAAGGCCCAGTTTCCAGCACCACGAAGAGGAATGCCTCAAGAGAGACAGGAGAGGGAGAGCCCAAACCAGTGTTTTATTTGCTCATTATATATACTTTGTTATTGGCGCCAATGTGTAAAGAAAATGAACTGACTTGCACTTTGTAGGGCACTCCAAGGTAACATGATTGGAATGAACAGTAGTTATTGTAGTGAATAGTAGTCACTTGAGCATTCTTAACCTTCATCTGAAAACTTAAATCAAATTGTTCTCCTGCATATATTTTCAATTATTTCAACTAAACATTTCAAACCTTTGATTCATGAAAAAGTATGAATCTCAGACTTACTGTGACTTTTAACAATACTAGCTGTTCTTCTCAGGAAACCCACTCTTTCCTATGAAATACTAAAAGCATAAATAAATATTCAAGCCGTCCGCTTTTAGTCCAGAGACAAGTTAAAAGCATTGGAGAGGTGACATTAATCGAGAATTGATCAATTTTACTCTCACATGGGCAAGAAGCCTTTCTTTCTTTCTTTCTTTCTTTCTTTCTTTCTTTCTTTCTTTCTTCCTTCCTTCCTTCCTTCCTTCCTTTCTTTCTTTCTTTCCTTCTTCCTTCCTTCCTTCCTTTCTTTCTTTCCTTCTTTCTTCCTTTCTTTCTTTCTTTCATTATTTATTTACTTACTCTCTTAATTTTTTTTGAGACAGAGGCTCCCAGTACAACTCAGGCTGGACCCAAATTCATGATCTAGCTTCAGCCCCCTGAGTACTGGGATGACAGCTGTACATCACCATGGCTGCCATTTTATTTAAGTAAATAATAAAAACCAACTTCTGTGAAAATTGTTCTTAGTTGCTCTAACTCAGAATCTCTCTTTCTCCAAAGTTAAACCCTACTTTGAATAATCTGAGGCTTTTCTTGTAAGTTAATATCCCAATTATTTTAAGCTTTTAAAAACAAGAAGTGGCTTAGAATGGTAGCTACAGAATAACAGATAAAAACTCCTGAGTGAAGTTATTGGACACTTAGTTTCATTTTACTCTCATAAATACAACCACGTATTTTGAGAAAGATGTCCTCTGGCTTTTAAAAAGTGGTGTTTATAAGTGAGTGCTATAGCAAAGTTTGAGACAAGTAACGTGGCCAATGAGGTGTAGAAGTTTAGCAGAACTTATGCCATTAATATTTCAGCCAAGAAAAAATCCATTTCAATTGACATCCAATATAGTTATGAAGCACAGTATCAGCCATGATAGTTTTAAAACATAGATTTATAAAAAAACTTAACTTCTTTAACCAGCAAAACTGTAATCCAAAGAAAGAGACAGACCATGCCTAAAAGAGAAGACATTTGACCCCACTTCAAAGAGAATAGCCTTGAGGCTATGACAAGAAATATCATATAATTTACTCATATTTAATAATTTGTACAAAATGGGGAACCAATTAGCACAAAATATACTTTTGTTAGTTTAGAAAACATAATCAAATGCCAAACACAGTTTGCTTGTGTGCTTTCTAACTGTGTCTGTGAGACTGCGTCCAGTAACATGTGAGCTAAGTCTCTACAAGGAAGATTACCTTTGGAGCTGCTTGTCCAGGTTTCATCATCATCAAAATGGGCATCCCCGCCATAGTTTGGTCCAGGAGGAAAAGCATGTGCCAGAAGACCAGAAGGCCCATCAAATGGGTAGAAGTCACCATGTTCTATGCAGAAAGCAAGAGTTAAAATCCCATTACCATATACTGTGCCTGGCTTGGCAGGGGCATGGCAGCTTTGTCAAATGCTTTGAAACTGCTAAATGATTGGTGAAAGGAGTAAAAAAATGAAACCAAGGAAAGATTAGCATATGGGCATGTGTCTAAATGACTCTTCATCCTTACCTTTAGTTCCAAAAGATATCATGATATCAGCAGTGCCATCATGGATTCTGGTGAAATTCAGAGGTGTCACATCAGACCAGACCTTGAAGGCTTTTCTGAATGCCTTCTCCACTTCAGAATGGGACATATCAGGGGTATAGTTCACAATTCTATTCAATATAGAAAGTGTTAGTTAAATTTTGAAAGGTTAAAAGTGTTTTTAAAAAATATTTTCTTGGGGGCTTGTGAGATGGCTCAGTGGTTAAGAGCACTGGCTGTTCTTCCAAAGGTCATGAGTTCGTTTCTCAGCAACCATACAGTGGCTCACAACCATCTATAGTGAGATCTGATGCCCCCTTCAGACAAGCAGATGTATATGCAGCAGTGCACTCATACATTAAGTAAACAAAAAACAAACAACAAAACAAAAAAACAAACATACTTTCTTAGAATATGACATTTCAACTCGAGATAGCTGCTTTAAAGTTTCTATTAGATATAATAGATGCTTTAAAAGAATTAAATTGAAGAGTTCTATCAAATATTTAAGCACTGCCAGATAAATGAGTACCTTGACACCTTAAATTTAAAATATTCAATATAATCTTGTTTGCATGCTAAAATCAGGAACTAGACAAGCTGGCACCACAGAATTTAAGGGAAAAAGTGGAACCCTACATCTTTAGGATCTCCATCATAAACATAGTATTTTCTTTTTAGAATTTCCTCCCTGACTTGTGGTTTCATTTCTTCAAGAAATCTCTGGAGACACTCACCAAAAAAATAATGTTGGGATTAGCATTAAGATAATAAGGTCTTATTAAACTAATTTATTTGTTTTTAATGTTTATTGTTGATTTATAGAACTCATTTAGAAATACTAAGTGTAAGATAAACTTTTAATTTTGCAGAAAAAATGCAATCAGATATTAAATATACCTTGCTTCTGTGCTTCTTAACTTTGTATTAAAGCTAATCCTGAACTGAACCGCCAATTCACAACTCCAGGCCTACTTAATGTCAGGCATGTAGAAGAAAAGAGAAACACGTGTGAGGGGTAGAGCCTCTGCTTTACCTGTAAGTTAAGTTCGTTTGGGACCATTTGGGTGTTCGAGGGAAAACATTGTATTCACCCACATCAGGCACTCCACATCTTGGTTTTCTCATGATGTCTAAGGTGGCATCATCAAGTTTGCCAGTCACCTCTAAGCCAAAGAAAGACTGCATTTCTAGGAGCCTATCAACTGTAGAGGTCACTGTAGACTTCTTCAGGATTCCCGCAAGAGTCACAGGATGGTAGTATGATTTCAAGTAGTGCTAGAAAAGAGACCAAAACAACCAACTTTTAAGAGATGGAGATTTAAGAAATGCACTGCAATGCCATGCTTGGCAGAATACTGTACCTCTGCAAACTCAAGTTCTTCCTCAGACAAGTCATCATCATCATCATCACCATAGGAAAGGGGCAGGGACCAACAGTGAGTCCAGCTCAACAAGAAGAAGGTGGCCAGGATAGCTGAATGCATGGTGCCCAGCAGTGCCTGGAGTCTCTCCTTCCCAGGGCAAGCATCTTCTATTTTATAGAGCGATAGTGATGAGTCACCACTTGGGAGTGTGTGGTAACTTCCTAGTGAGTAGAAGGTAAACATGCTTACATGGTATTTTTTTCTTCCTAAGTATGGTTTGTGGCAGAACCTGAGGGAAATGGAAAATGAAGGCATCTCTAGTTTCAGTGGGGGCTATCAAAACGCATCTGTCAAAATAAACAGCCTCAGCATTTTTATGGATATAGTGGGGAGAAGCGGCAGCTAGTGTATTTTTCACTTCACTGGGCAAAAATGTTTTCTTCATTTTGTAGGAAAAACAGCTACTCTGATTTTTTCAGGTAATAATAATAGCAAAGTAATACATTTATTCCTGTAAGGAGAGACAAAGTTATGTTCACAAAATGGTTATAGGCTGATGAGTTCTCAACTTTATTCTGTCTTGAGCAGCAACAGTGAGAATGCTTGCTTTATTCCTTTGAAGGCCTCAGAAATGTAAAAGAACCAAGCTTGAGGTCTTTGAGACACTGTAGCTGATTGAGTCCTAAGCTGGGGCTTTAACATCCTCATATAAGCTTTAGATGGCTGGGGAGACCTATGTGAGTTTCCTTCATGTCCAGGAACTGGGCTCTGTTGAAATGCAGCCAATGGTTAGGACTAGGGACTGTGGACATAATTAGGATTATGTTTTGAGCCATTACTCTAAGTCAGGTTTAAAAGGCATTATCTCATTTAATCCCTACAATAACCAAAGCAGATACTGTGCATAGGCCCAGTATCAGGGCCCAATGTATAGGGCCGTATAGTGTAGCCCAGGAAGGACCTTGAACTCACCAAAACCACCGTGCCACACATCCTTCAGATTGATTTATTTGATCTACAGTGGATACTAAAGTAGATGGTCCTCTCTCAACTACCTAAGGACTATGATTACAGTGTGAAGGATCATGTTGGATCATCACAACAGAAGCTCTCTGCAGAAGAAATACTTTAATGAAAAAAACAAAAATAAACATCACTACTTCTCAACTTTAATGCTTACTATCAAATAGTTTTCATGTTTTAGTAATTTATTCTCTTATTCAAGAATAATAACAAGCACAGGCAAAATCACCAACAGTTAATGCTAGCGCGAGTTCTGTCATTTTAAACAGAAATAGAGAAAAAGTCATCAGAAGATTAAAATAGACAGCCACTCCTTAAGAGAATGCCCAAGAGTTGGTAGAATATTGTTCTTGGAGAAGAGATTGCAGACAGCTGACAGGATGTGTCATCACAATGAAGTGTTAGCAAACACTTGTCAACACAAGTCCATACTTCAGACTGCTAACCGTACTCATGAAAGCCAGGCCTTTTGTTCATCACTGCTGGAATGGCATGTGTGGTTTCAAACCACCTACTTTACAACAGGGAGCTGAGTTGGCATTTGAAACAGTTCTGACAAAGGCTGCTGAAATCACTGGGAAATTCAAAAACCTATAGAATGAGAAAATAAACTGTGGGACGAAATTAGAAATGAACATCGCCTGCTGACTCAGGCCGAGGCTATATGGGACTTTTTTCAAACATATTTTGCCAGGAATTCCTAAGTTCAGAACTAGAGAAAAACAAAAATAATGATAAACAACTTTAGTAAAGAACACAGTGTTTCCCAATTAGGACATTTGAGTTTGATTAAAATTATTAAAAATCTGTAACTCAACGGATTTCCGATGTGAAAGGTTTGACTCCCATTTAGAATTATGCACTGCCTGTGTTGACAATGTAAATAAAAGCTTTATTTCTACAAAATAAGCAACTTGATTTTACAAATATATGATTTTTCCTTTAGGAACACTCTGTGAACATTTCTTTGTTCATGTTTTTTTTTCTTTTTTTTCCATAACCCTGTGGAATGAGATTACAAAGTCAGTTGTTCAGTTGCTTGGTTGGTTGTCTTGCTTGTTAGTGGCTGAGACTGGGTCTCATGTGGTCCAGACTGCCCTCAAACTCACTATGGAGCTGAGGATAGCCTTATTATTGTCCTGCTTCCATCTCCTGGGTGCTAGAATTACAGCTTGTGCCATTATGGAGGGAAGGAACTTAGAAGCAAGCACTCTGAAAACTGAGCTACGTCCCCACCTCCAACACACTCTTAAGATTTGAACATAGGCAACTGTGTTTTCACCCTAGAATGAGATGTGAGAACATCTACAGAAAGATTCATCTGAGATGCTGAAGTTTCAAAGAAGGTTAGCTGCTAAGGAAGTTGGTCTGTTTACCATGTTGATCCGTGGTATCCTAGCATCCTAAGACTTTTAAACTAACCTTCCCAACATACTACAGCATTTATCATGATCTCACTTGTGATGAATCTTGAGGTTTGGGTTTTGTTTCATGGCATTGCTGTTTGTCTGGTACTGCTAAGACCTAAACAAAGGCACTGCGCATACTGGGCAAGCCTATGCCACTGAGCAACCTCCCAACCCTGAAACCTTCTAAAGTAGTTCATTTATCTGTCTTCCCTTTCTTTTCCCTTCCCACCTCACTCATCCCTTCCCCTCCCTCTTCTTCCCCTCCCCTCTCTTCTTGTCTGTTCCCCTTCCTTCCTTTTTGAGTGTTTACAGGACACACTTTTATTGAATTGATATGTTTGTTTATTTATTTATTTATTTATTTGTGACTATGGCACATTTGTGGAGATCAGAGGACAAGTGGGAGTTAGTTCTCTCTTCACTCCATGTGGGACCCAGGAATGACACTCAGCCAGCTTATTGTACTTGCTAGCAGATGCCTTTAGCAGCCGAGCCGTCTTTTTGGCCCATGAATACATACTTTCTAGAATAGAAAGCTTACCATGTTGCTGGTATGAGTCATTCACAACCTTTTCAATACCAAAAGAAACATTTTCCGACAATTTGGGTTGTTGAGATACATAATTTATTTTTCTTCATAAGCTCAGAAAAGTGAGAATGAACTCAAAATTTTCTCAAAACATATCTTAAAAATTTTGTGCACAAAGCTTAACAAAGCTTTTTTCTATCAATATATTCTAGTTAGTTAATTTTATAAAATTATAGTCCAGATTTTATGGAAACTATAAACTGCCAAGAGAGACTTCTACCTTAGCCTGATGGGAAGATGGTGTCAGTCCTCCATTTCTTGCCTGCAGTGAGGGTTAGGGCCATGCAGGTAGGCATCTACCTGCCGACTATGTCCTCAGAATTCAAGCTAATTTCCTTGGACATCCATCGAGCACAGAAGTATGTAACACTCTCCACTTTGTTCATGTCAGAAATAAGAAATCTTGGCAGAAAAGTTAAGAAAGAGCAACTAGAACAAACAAAGCTTTAAACTTAAGAATAGTTATTTCTTTATTTTGTCTATCCAGTGGTTTAATCCTCAAAAATCAATTGAACTACAGACTTAGGGTACAAGCTTTGGGATTACGAATAGCAGCCCAAATCCCAGTGTTGTCATCTACCAGTTCTGTGACTTTCAGTTTGTTAACAAGAAGAATAAAGAGATTCTAACAATAGAAACCTATAGAGAGCTAAATTCTCTTTATAAGTCCATATATGGTTGTTACTAATAATGATGATAAACATTAAGATATACTGTGTTACAAGATGATTAATCATGATTATTCATTCATTCTCCATTCTTGATTTCAGAGACTTTTATACATGAGTGTCTGTAATGATGCAGACAAAGTTCTTGCTCCAACATCCTCAGCACAGAGGAACATTCTTATTCCTGTATCATTCTATCAGCTGCCTTCTCTCCCTCTTTCCTACACAATAGAAATCTATCAATCACTGCCCCTGACATCTTTCACCTTAAGAACCTTTCTTAGTATCAATTATCTTAAGTTTCCTAAAGTGGCTTATTTGTGGAAACCTGGAAGCTTTCCTTGATCCTCCTAAGAATGTTTGTGATTACCAAAAAAAGATCACAAGTATTGTGAATCACAATTTCCAGAAGTGAAAAAAAAACAAGAAAACAAGAAAAACAACAAACAAACAAACAAACAAACAAAAAACAAATGTAGTACTGAAGGATGAGATTCCAACCTGAAGGTACCTTGGCTGTTCTGGAGACAGTGGGCTGAAGCTCTTCCATGTAGATGGCAAACAGAGACTAGAGAAAACTTCATATTGTGATGGGAAGAAGCCTGGACCACTCTGCTATAGGAACCCTCCTTTTTTCTGACAAGAATCTCCACATTGAAGATAAGCTACTCACCAAGTTCTTCATGGTGGCAGCAATCCACCCGGGGAGGTCAAGTCAGAATGGGTGTGGAGGGAAGCAATGGCTTTCCTGTAGGAAACTAAAGATTGTGAGACAGATCAGTATTTAGAGGGCTCATATGAGAACAGGAGCTCATCCTAAAGCCACGATGGAAGTTTATACCGTAGGTTTCTTTTAATTCCATAGGGTCCTTGGTTAAGTGTAGGAGAAGCCAAACCACGGGAGTGTCTTGAGCAGCCTACTGCAGTCTAGAAGGCAAACAACACTAAGACTGAATTAACATCAACAAGGCCATTTTTAACTCAGTGAATGAGCACACAGACCTAGCATCAGACAGACCAAGTTCAATTTCAAGCTCTGTAATTTAGCTGAACAATTTTTAAATTCCATTTATTTTGGGGTATGTGCCTGCCACAACAGAGATCAACTTGTGCGAAGCGGTTCTGTCTTTCTACCATGTGGGCCCAAGAGATCAAAAATCGAGCCTGATGGCATTGTAGACATCCCCTGAGTGATATTTTTTTATTTATTGATCCAGCACTTGGTTATCAGAAATAACCACAAAGCTAGAGTTGTTTTAGTCACTGGGGACATACGATAGAGAATGAACTCATCCAAATCCTGGCCCTTCTGAGGCTAATGCTGTAGTGGGGAAAGATATCCAATTCTAAGGAAAATAACAATATGTGAAAGTTGATAAGGAATGAGAAGAGACAAGGCCTCAATGGTGTCCCAATTCCTATACAGTCAGT